TGTGTGTGTGGTGTGTGTGTGTGTGGTGTGTGTGTATGTGTGTGTGTGTGGTGTGTGTGTATGTGTGTGTCTGTGTGTGTGTGTGGTGTGTGTGTGTATGTGTGTGTGTGGTGTGTGTGTATGTGTGTGTCTGTGTGTCTGTGTGGTGTGTGTGTATGTGTGTGTGTGTGTGTGTACACTGGGAGTGAAAACCAGAGCAAGTTACCCAAAGCACTCACCTTATACCCCAGTCCCCAAGCGGGTTGTTCTGTAGAGTAAGATGTAATGGAAAGAAAGACTCAGAAACACTTCCACGTCATCCACACAGCCCTACACTCCTGGAGCGTGTTGGTCAAAGAGCCATGATAGCCAAGGCCCTGGAAGCCCAGCAAAGAACAAGAATACTGAGTGAAAGGGAGCCTCTTAGGGGTCGCTGAGGCCAGTGGTTATCAATCTGTAGGTCCTGACCCCCAAAAGACCCTTTCACAGGGATCGTCCAAGACCATCAGAAAATACAGATATTTACATTATGATTCATAACAGCAAAATTACAGTTATGAAGTAGGCAACAAAAATAATTTTATCACAACATGAGGAATTGTTTGCAAGGGCCACAGCATTGGGAAGGTTGAGAACCATTGACCTAGACCATGCCTAACAAGCCTTGCTTAAGGTGGTAGAAATCTTGGTTAGAATTCAGACTCTTTTAAATATTTACTATGATTTTTATTTATGTATATGTGTGTATCTATGTGTGGGTATGTGCCCATACTTGTGGGTGTGTTCTGATGCCAGAAGAGGGCATCAGATTACCTGGAGTGGAAAAGCCAGTTGTTTCTCATCACAAAATAGAGCCTCTTCTGCGACCATACATGTGACAGCAGGAATAAAAACAAAAACAAAAAAACAACAACAACAAAAACCAAGGATGGTTGGTGTCTGAGTAAAGGGAAACAGGGATTTGAGAAATTAACAGACTGATGATCAGCTCAAAGACGTTCCATCTCAGAGCTCCCTGAGACAGCCATGCTCAGGCCTATAGGGATGGAGGACCCCAAAGGGGCTGCAAGGGTTGGTCATCCCTCACCCGTTCTCTCCCTCTGTGACCACCCCTCACAGCCCCACGTCCTGCTTTAGTAAGGGTCACGTCACCTTTCCACTGATTTCTAAGGTCTAGAGAATAAAGTCCAGATTTGGCAAACTGAGATCCTTTTCCAATCTTGTCAAGTCCTGTCATGTTCAACTACTACTAGTTTTACCACCCTAGACCTTTGCCTAAATTAACAAAGCCATACAAGTCAAGTAGCCTCTCCACTGGCCGTGATCCCCAACCAATGAGAATTCTCCCTTCCGAGGCGCCATCTCAACTGCCACTTGTTTCAGGAACCCTTCCCCCATCCTCCTAGGGCTTCCTTCGTCCCACAGCTGAACTGCACATCCTGTAAGAATACGCACGCCTTTAATCCCAGCACTCGGGAGGCAGAGGCAGGTGGATCCCTGCGAGTGCCAGGCCAACCTGGGCTACAGAGCGAGTTCCAGGACAGCCAGGGCTACACAGAGAAACCCTGTCTCGAAAAACCCAAAGGAGGAGGAAGAGAAAGAGGGAGGGCAAGACAAGAAAAAAACGGGACTAGTCCCGTTTTCCAAGCTGGCCAGGGTCGAGCGCGCGCGGCAGATGTGATGCAGGGAATTTTTGCGCCACAGGGGCGGGGCCTGCCCGCCGCCGCCCCTCCCTGGCCCCGCCCTGCGGTGGCGCGGATGGACTACGAGTCCCAGGCTGCCTTGCGGCGGCGGCGGCAGCGCCGACGTGGCACGGCGCGAAGGCCGTGCGAACTGGAAAGCCGGGAGGTGGCGGAGCCCGAGTCATGGCGGCCAAGGCAGCGGGCAGCGGGGGCTGGGAGGTGGTGAAGAAGGGCCGGCGACCTGGAGCCAGCGGCGGTGGACGAGGCGGCGGCGGCGGCGCTGGCGTTGACCGCCGAGCGCTCGGGGAGGCGAACGGGGTGTGGAAGTACGACCTGAGCTGTGAGTACCCGCCGCCGCCCACCCGGGCCTCTGGGGCAGGGGCGCGGCGCAGCAGCTGCGGAAGCCGGGAGCGGATCCGCGGGACCCCGGGCGCCCCGGCTGGTAGCGCAGAGAGAAGGTGATCGTCCCCGCTGGACGGGTCGGGAAGCGGAGGCCCAGCGAGGCAGACTCTGGAAAGAGACTGGCATTCCGATCTCCATCTGTGCGGGCCTTTGCACGCAGCCCTCCCAGCTGTCCCGACCCCGGCTGGCCAGGTGTCTGAGCGACTGGGCAGAGGCACCCGGGATCCTGCACGGGGCCCCTTCTACAGTAACCAGCAGGTCCGGGAGGGGTGGACGAGAAGGCCAGCGCTGGGAGGAATGACCCGACATACCCTTCCAGCCAGGAGTTAATCTCCGTGTCGCCTGTTCCATAGTCTCCAGAGGAGGGGAGAAAGCTTGCCACTTGTTGAGTATAGAGTTGTCATTTCAGAACCAACAAGAATTGGGAGTGGAAACCGTGCTGGAAAAATTCTGCCCTTAACAGACTAGCAGCCAGACCCAGTGAGGCCCACCCTCTGTACATGAGCCTGACTGAGCTCCACATCCTTTGATTTGTCTGATAAAGAACTGGAAGAGCCAGGGACCTGCTGGTGGTGACTGAAATCAGCCACCAGGAGGGCTCTGTGCTGTGTGCTTCTAAAGCTCCCAAGGAAGCCGGAGCTCGGGACAGCATCTCACTGTAAATGACTTAGGTGCCCCTGCAGAGAAGGGACCGCTGTGCTGTGAGTCCTGGGGTCTTGAGGGTGGCCTGCTGTTTTCTACCTGTTTCCGGTCCAGCTCCAATCCAGACCACAAGCACTCTTTATGAGCGTGGCTTTGAGAAAATCATGAAGCGGCAGAATAAAGAACAGGTTCCACCCCCGACGGTGGAGTCTAAGAAACCAGCGAACAAGAAGCAGCCAAAGAAGGTGACAGCTGTCGCTAGCCAGAACCAGAAGCAGGGCCCGTTCCGAAGCCTGGAAGATGCGCTGAAAGCCGTAAGTGTGCCTCGGCTTGGGGTGCAGAGAACATGTGGGATTTAGGACACCCAGATGAGAGGGGTTCCAGAAAAGATGCAAATGCCGAGGGACAGAATGTTTGCACCTCGAATAGAAAGGAAGTGGGATGTTCATAAGAAACGTAGTGAGGAGAGTGATGGAAATCCCGAGAACAAGATGGAGGTAATAGAAAAGCTGGTTTGGGTTCTCTGTCCCACAGGAGTGATCTTTTACTTCCCATCTTGCCCTCTCTTCTTGCCCTTGAACATGTGATGGGCCTACAAGTGTATGGCGTTGAGATCAGCATTCTCAGCTGTTCTGCCCCTGTCCTTCTTTCTTGGGGCCTGGGTGTGGCAAAATTGTAGCCTCCACATAGAAAAACCTCCTCAGCCACTTTGCTATGCCTGTCTTTCCCTGCCCCTTCCCACTCACCATAGAAGTCTCTCCCTGGCAGCTGGATGTAGCCGCTCTGCAGAAGGAACTGGACAAAAGCCAGAGCGTCTTCACTGGGAACCCCTCTGTATGGCTGAAGGACCTGGCCAGCTATCTCAACTACAAGCTCCAGACTCCACGGAGCGAGCCCACCCTGAGCCAGTATCCACATGGTTAGTCCCCCAGCCCTCGGCTTAGATAAGGCCACGGACATTCGGAGAGGGTGGATGTTCCTAAGAGCCCAGGACCTCCACTTTCCTGATTCAGACGTGGCTGTGCAAGTGGCTGGGTCTCCTTGGGGAAAAGAGAGCTAGCCTCGGCGCAAGGGCATCTCGACCTAGCACTCACAGAGGCCAATGGCCCCAGATTATCCCTACAGCCTCGTGAGCCGAGAGCTGCGTGGGATCATCCGAGGGCTCCTGACCAAAGCTGCAGGGTCTGTGGAGCTCTTTTTCGATCACTGTCTGTTCACCATGCTCCAAGAGTTGGATAAGACACCAGGTAAGAGCGCCCTATAAAGGATGACCGTCTTGAGAACGCATTCCTTTTCTCTTGCTTCCAATGTGGTCACCAGTTCCCTTCCCAACAAGAATTGTGCTAATCTCCAAAACGTTTTTGGGGGGAGAGGAGGGGAGGGGGAAGAGATTAGGATTTGGGCTCACAGCTGGGGGAGAGAAAAAAAAAAGCATGGAGTGTCAAGTCATACGAGTAGATCTGAGAACGTATGTCTCTCTAGGGGAGTCGCTCCATGGGTACCGCATCTGTATTCAGGCCATTCTGCAAGACAAGCCCAAGATTGTCACCTCAAACCTGGGCAAGGTGAGCCCTAGGTGGTGCTGGGACACCCGAGGGTAGGATTAGGGAAACCAGACAGAGTCTCCATTGTTAGGCTTGGTCGTGGGACGGAATAGCACGTAATACCGTTAGCATTTGTTGTGTCTTTGCTGGATGGATGAGGATGACCCGCACATTCACTGTGTTGTGGGGTGGCTGGGCCATCGACAGGTCCCATGGCTTTGCTAGAACTGGTCAGCCAGAACGGGGGGGGGGGGGGGAGCATCACTGAAACCACTGAGCCACACTGCCGTAGGGTTACACTGTTCCTGGCACCCTTGGCCCCTATACCCCTCCTTCCACTGGGATCTGTAGTGCCGGTGTGCTGACCTATAACCCTCCCTTTCTACCCATCTCCTCAGTTCCTAGAGCTTCTGAGGTCCCACCAGAGCCGACCAGCCAAATGCCTGACCATGATGTGGGCCCTCGGGCAGGCAGGTTTTGCCAACCTCACCGAGGGACTGAAAGGTATGACCAGACAGAGAACTGTGGGTCGGTCTCTGCTCTGAGGAGCCCTGTGCATGAGCCTGAGACTTGCTGACTTTTGACTCTACAGTGTGGCTGGGGATCATGCTGCCTGTGCTGGGCATCAAGTCTCTGTCTCCCTTTGCCATCGCATACCTGGACCGGCTGCTCCTGTGAGTAATGGGGGGACAGCGAGGGGAAGGCCCAGGGTGTCCACAAGAGGCTGTTTCGGCAAAATGGGATGCCATGATCCTGGTCTCCATAGATGCGAGGAAAATCAGGACCAGCTCCTCCCACCTCCAAGTGTGATGGTGAGGAAGGAAAGGGAGGGAGCCATTGAGGGCTGGGGATGGGGTAGAGTTCATGCCCTTCTCCCTGTCCACTGGCGTAGCTGAGCTCATGACTGGAGCGCCAGAGTAGTTCCCAACAAGCCCGCTTCTTCTTTCTCTAGGATGCATCCCAACCTCACCAAAGGCTTTGGCGTGATTGGCCCCAAGGACTTCTTCCCACTTCTAGACTTTGCCTATATGCCCAACAACTCCCTAACCCCCAGGTAGGACTGCTTTGGAGCATGCACACAGGGGGAGTTCCTGGTGCAAAGTCAAGCCGCAGCAGTGCATTTCCATCCCCTTCCCCCAAAAGCCCTAGATTCACACCTGCAAGGTTCAACAGTGGATCTCAAGGGGCCAGAAATTGTATATGCCTTTGAATGTGACAATTGCGTGTGTGTGTGTGTGTGTGTGTGTGTGTGTGTGTGTGTGTGTGTGTGTGTAACATCAGGCAGTCTTTAGGGAGACCAGCTTCGCAAGGTGCTTCTGTGTACAGAGACTCAGAGCCATCCCAAGGCACTTCGTGACTGTCCCTTCAGGCCGGGGCTGAGCTCAGGAGTCACAGTTCCCTTGACAGCCTGGCCCCCCTCTCCCCCAGCCTACAGGAACAGCTCTGCCAGCTCTTCCCTCGGCTGAAGGTGCTGGCCTTTGGGGCCAAGCCAGAGTCCACCCTGCACACCTACTTCCCTTCATTCCTGTCGCGAGCCACGCCTAGCTGCCCTGCGGAAATGAAGAAAGAGGTGAGCGGTCTCCCCTTGCCTGGAGCAAGTCAGCCCCTCTGGTGATGCTCCCCGGTGTCCCGCCGCTCGCTCCCACAGCCACCTGCCCACCCACTCGTGCTCTCCCACGGAGTATGGGCCTGAGAGGTGGGAGGGTGCTCAGTGGTGGCCCGTCACTCGTAGACGAGATCCTTAAGCTAAGGCTGCAGGTCAGGAGCCACACCTACCCCGTGATAGCGGGCTCGGGGGTCTTGACAGTACTTCTCACCCTTCATGGTAGACGGGGTGTTACCAGAAGCCCCGGCACCCCCCTTTTCACCGTCCCGAAGCCCCAGCGTTCCCTCTCTTTCGTCCCATGCAGCTCCTGGGCAGCCTGACCCAGTGCCTGACTGTGGACCCGCTCAGCACCAGTGTCTGGAGACAGCTGTACCCCAAGCACCTGTCCCAGTCCAGGCAGGTGGGGGTGGGGTCACCTGCCCTGACGTACACAGAGAAGTCTCCTAGCGTGTGCTTCCCAGACTGGGGCTGGCGTGTCGTACCGGAGACACTGGTCACTGTGTGCCAGGCTCTCCCCTCTCATTTGGCGTGAGAACCCAGCCGGAGTGGCCGTTAACGCACTCTGCGGGTGGGGGCCTTCCCGTACTAGAACCCGGATCTTGGTGGGTGGAGGGCAGCGCCCCGGGGCTGCTGACTGAAAGGAGCGTGCTTCTTCTCCCCAGCCTGCTGCTGGAGCACTTGCTCAAGTCCTGGGAGCGGATTCCCAAGAAGGTGAGTTGCTGAGAGGATGTGGGAGGCGAGGGCTTGCCTGGGTTCTCAGTTTGTGCCCCTTGACCTCTAACCTCCCTTTTCTGTGCCTTTTGTTGACACTGAGCCTGAAGCAAGATGGAGGCTCAGGCTCCTCTGTCAGGCCAGGGCTCACCTTCTCAACTCATCTCTTGGTATTCTGTAGGCACGGAAGTCTTTGCAAGAAACCATTCAGTCCTTCAAGCTTGCCAACCAGGAGCTCCTAAAGAAGGGCATTGGCAGCAACGAGCATGTTGTCACCTGTGATACAGCCTGCAAGGTGTGACACCCAACCCCTCCAGCCAGGCACAGTCCTACATCTGCCTTGACACACCCTGGGTTGGGCTGGGGTCACATCCCTGTCCCACCTGTCTGTGGAGCCCCCCAACAAGCTTACGTGTCGGCCTGGCTTAGGGCTTGCACTAGGAAGTAAAGACCAGGCCTTCTGCCTCTGACCACTGTCCCCTCCGCCGTCAGGGCTTGTTACAACAGGCACGAGGTCCTCGGCCACCCTGGGCCCGGCTGCTCCTGTTGCTTCTGGTCTTTGCAGTAGGCTTCCTCTGCCATGACTTCCGGTCCCACAGCTCCTTCCAGGGTAAGTGGTGTTGGTCGTCTGGGAAGAGAACGTGGTGGTGGGGCACAGAGCTATCTGTGGCCTCTCCAAACCCCACCTTGTCCTGAGGGGGGAGCTCTCAGTGCGTCAGTACAAACACTCTCAGCTCGCTGTTGTGTGCAGGCCGGACTGAGAGTCCCCGGGAGAGACGTGGTGACAGATTTACAGCAACTGAACACGTGTTTTCTCCTCTTAACTCCTGAGGAGAAGGTTTGCCTCAGATTAAGATCATAGCTAGTAGGACCAGAAAAATGATAACTAAGCGGTCAGACGTGCTTGCTGCCAAGTATGACGATCTGAGTTCCGTCCCCAGAGTGGCATAGGCACTCAATAAATTAGTAAATGTGACTTTAGAGAAGATCACAGCTAGGAAAAGGGCAGATACTCAGACCTGACGTTTTCTGACCTCTTAAGTCCAAGACTCCACCCATTGTCCCATTCTTCCTGTTCCTGACCCAGCAGAATGTATTCGGCCCCTCCGGCCTGTACTTCTCCCTCCAGACCTGTCTAGTTAGACCCGAGAGCACACGAAACTGCCCCGCTCTTCACTGTCCCTGCCCCGGGACCCGGAATGTCTGTCCTCCAAGCCCTTGCCCCTGCTCTCCCAGCTCACCAGAGGCTCCCTTTGCAGCCTCCGTCACTGGCCGCTTGCTCCGATCATCCGGTTTCTTGCCTGTTGGCCAGCAAGTGTGTGCCAAGCTCTCCTCATACAGCCTGCAAAGCTACAAGTGAGCTGCCGCTGCCTGGGGGGCGGGGTGGTGCCAGTGTGTGTAGGGGGGACAGCCATGGACAGCGGGAAGTACTGCAGATCCTCCTCCCCTTGGTCGCCTCCTCTTTGGTGAGCAAGTCGTCCTGGGGAAGCTCAGAGTATGCCTCTGTCCTCCAATTTCTCTACAGCTGGCTGCAGGGGACATTGCCAGCCTGTGGCTCCCACCTGCTTGCCGTGGTACAGCCCAGTTTGCAGCTGGCCTGGACACACACCAATGCCACAGTCAGCTTCCTTTCGGCCCGCTTCGGCGACAGCCTTGCTGGCTTCTTGCAGAGGGTAAGCTGGAGATGAGGAGTCGGGAAGGGACCCATCCTCCCAGAGACAGAGTTCTTGGGAGGGCAGAGTCCTGCGTGGGCAGACCCCTGGCCCTGGGCATCTTGTCCATCCCCTCTCCGTGGTCCTGCCGCAGGTCCAGCTCCCTGAGGCCCTGCACCAGCTCTCCCACTCCTTGAAGGAGCTGCTGCTGCTCTTCCACCACAGTGTGCTGCTGCCCACGTGGCACCTGCTGCTTGTGGCCCTGGCCCGAGCTCAGGAGTACTGCCACGAGGCCTGCAGGTAAGACCTTCACTCCAGACGCCGCCGGTTCTGTCACAGCCACTCTGGGATGAGGTTCTGGGTTTCAGCTGCAGCCCTGTGAGGTGACACAGCCCCACACATGACCCCCAGTCCCCTCAGACGTTCTGCTTTTCTCACAGAGGAGAAGTGACGTGGGATTGCGTTAAGACACAGTTCAGTGAAGCCGCCCGATGGACCTGGCTCTCTCTACAGGACGTCACAGTAGCTTTCTTGGACTGGGCACTCGCCATGATATCCCAGCAATAGCCCCGGCCTGCCTGGCCACTGGTTTCTGTGGTGGGCAAGCTGTCAGAGACTGTGGAGGGTAGAGAAGGCGGCTCTCTCTTCACTTGGTGCCTGAGTTCTATCTGTCTCCTAGGCCAGGGCCCGTGCCTCTGCCTCACTTCCCCATCTTGAGGGGACTGGGCCGGGACTCAGCCTCCCGCTCACGGGTCTGCTGGGTATCTCAGGCCCAGTTGCACAGCTTCCGGCCTCCCTTGGGCTGGTAGCCTTTGTCGACTTCTCTCACCCCGCCGTCCTCCATCTCACCACGTAAACCCCGACAGCCCACCTCCAAAGGAGGGAGGTAGCCGCCTGTCCGCATTCCTGGTCATAACTTCAACCACAGCAGAAAAAGGGAAGGACTTCAGAAGGGCCAGCACCACAGTGGGTGACAGCAGCGTCACCTCCACCAGCAGCCAGAGTAACCATCAGTGGACATGCCGGCCACACGGAAATGCCTGTTACCTCAGAACACCCAGAACAAGCAAGCCTTCTGAGAACACTTGCGCCCTGCTCTGTCAGCGTCCTGGCTTCTCAGCACCGGTCCCCCCAGTTCCAGCACCCCTCTCTCAACATCTCTGTCAGATCTGTCCACAGCATCATCCACCTGAGAGCAGCGCCTTCCATCAGCCTCTCGGCGTATGGCTCCTGGGTGGAATAAATGACAGCGGTTGGATTTCTAGCTTTCCTTTCTTCCAATCTTCATGTGGGAATTTCCAGAGTTTGGAGGCAGAAAAATAATAGTCCTGGGCCTCTGCCCTGGGTGTTGCACTGATAATTGAGCTGGCAGAGAAAGTCCGTCTCTGTCACTCAAAACAAGGTTCCCATGATCCGGTTGGCTCTGCTGATGTTGTCCTTGTCAGTGATTCCTGTCCAGAAATTTGCTTCCATATGATTGGGGAAAACGGGCAGAGTTGGGTGGTCTCCCAATCCTTCATTTATTAATTGCTTCATTTTTATGAGACTGGTTTAGAACGCCAAGAGACAAGCAGGGTTCACTGCTTTGAGACGACTCGTTGCGAGTGTGTTAGTCTGTCCCTTGGGCTCCTTCGGTCTGGTACGTGTTGTTTCTCGGGCGGCTTTGTTTCCCCTAGAAGCACCACAGATCAGGGAGAGTGGCAGCTCTTCCTTTCCATCCCTCTCCAGTGGTACCTGGAGATGCTCCTCTGTCCCTTCCCCAAGTGAATTTAAAGTAGCAAGTTTAAAAGCATCTTGACCCAATTTATTTATAAGTAATAAAGTATTACTGATTTTAGGAAGTAAACAGGCACAGCTGGCCACTCCTTGCAGGCTGGCTGGCAGTTAACCACGACCATTGTTCCCAGGGAGAGAAAGCCCTTTCTGTCCAAGGACCAAATGTGGTCTGCTAGGCCAGCTTGTCCAAGTGCCCCACAGCACGTCCTGTTTGTTCTTGTCAATCAGCCACAAACCGTTCAGCCCTACCTAAGGAATTGGAGAGGACTTTTGACAGCCTGGGCAGCCGCAGCACAAGACAGGATACTACGGTGTCTCAAGAAGAGTTAGAGAATGCTAGCCTGGTTTTCTGGGGTTTGTTCGATTGTTTTTTCAATCCAACATCCTTGGGCATGCCATGATTCTGTGCTGGCTTCTACTCTGTGGTGACTTAACTTGGGTTCATAATTTCTGATATTAAAATTCTTAAATATGCCAGGCGCACACCTTTAATCCCAGCGCTTGGGAGGCAGAGGCAGGCCTGATCTACAAAGTGAGTTCCAGAACAGCCAGGGCTACACAGAGAAACAGTCTCAAAAGACAAAAAGAAAAAAAAAATTCTTAAATGCAGCATTTTTCTTCAACTTAAGTCAGTTGGTATTGTCACAGCCTCTCATGAGGACACTGACACCAACCTTGGCTTTAAAAGGATATTGGGGCCCGGACAGTGGTTGCACATGCCTTTAATCCCAGCACTTGGGAAGCAGAGGCAGGTGACCTCCGTAAGTTCGAGGCCAGCCTGGTCTACAGAACGAGTTCCAGGACAGGCTCCAAAACTACACGGAGAAACCCTGTCTCAAAAGACAAAACAAACAAAAAAAAAAGCCCATTGGGGAAAGCAGCTCTTTTTCAAAAGCCCCACCCACCCCAAGATGGGGGTAGTACTGTGCTTTTCCTGTCTGTAGCCACGGACTACCTGCTGTCCATTACAGTAGGCCAGACGTTTCATTTCTGTCAGATCTAATGCAGCTGAAGTTCAAGTACCGTGCCGCAACACTGAAGGGCAGTTTGAATGAGTCTGTCTGTCTCCCCATTACCGGTTCCTGCTCGGACGTGGAAATGACACAAGTCATTTCTAAGCAGTTTTTCTATTACAGTTTTCTATTGTGTCTCGGGTTTCTGCCTTCCTTTGGTATTTCCACGTCCTCAGCTTTAGATTTAGATGAGGGCGACATGCTCACTGCCTGACAGATCATGTCTCTGGGCTCACGCCTGCAACATTTGTAGTCCGCTCTCAACACCACCCCAGTGTGGCTTGCTTCCCACAGTGATGGGCATGCTGCCCAATCCAAATCACCCCGGCTGTCCTTCACGGAGGTGTCTATATGGTTGGGTGACTTCTGAGCGTTTTAATGTCATCTGAGAGGTGGGACTTGGGTGGATGCTTAAAGTGACCCATTCGTTGTTGTTGTTTGGTTTTTTGAGACAGGGTTCCTCGGTAGCTTTGGAGCCTGTCCTGGACTAGCTCTGTAGACCAGGCTGGCCTCGAACTCACAGAGATCCACCTGCCTCTGCCTCCCGAGTGCTTGGATTACAGGCATGCACCACCACCGCCCGGCGTGACCCATTCTTTTACTCTACAATAGTTTCCCACCCTTCAGGGTATGACTGAATATTTATTTAATACCATGTGTCTTGCCCCTTAATAACTAATGTACTGTAATGTAATATCAGTAAGGACATTAGCACACTGGTACATCTTTTTAAATGTGTTATTTTAGAGCAATTTCAGATTTATGTCAAGGGCAAAAATAGAGGCTCGTCCTTCCTACCACACCCACATTCTCACACACACACACACACACACACCTTCCCAACCATGGATAACTTTTACCAGGATAGGACATGCACATGTTACAATCTGACAAGATCTGTACCTTAGACAAGCACTTCCTTCCACACTTAGTAGTTACACAAAATCCCTATTGTGGACCCGGGGGAGAAGGTTCAGTTCCCAGCACTCAGACTGGATGGTTCACAACCACCTCTAACTCCAGCTCGGGTCCCTGATGCCTTTGGTGTCTTTAGGCACCTGAACTCATGTACACACACACACACACACTCACACTTAATACAGTAAGTCTTAGGTGTCTGATGGCATGTGTCCACCACTCTACAGACAGGTACGTCTCACTGACCTAGAGATGCCCTGACTCCACATTATGCTACCCAGGCCACTGGAGGTTACTGATCTTGACAGTCTTCAGAGTTTTGCCTTTCCCACACTGCCATGGCATTGATTGCTGCACATATTTTAAGTTATAATCTCTCCCACCACAGAGGAAAATTTCTGTTCCCAAAAGAGAGCCAAGGGCGGTTCAAAGGAGGCAGGACCCTGACCTCACCTTTAAGCATCAGTCAGCAGAACTAACAACCTGGGAAGTTAGACAGAGTCCTCTCAATGAGTGGTTTCTGTTCCATTCGTCATGTTCCTATTAAACCCAGCATTCCAAATCTTCTGGGTCATAGCCACATCTTGGTGGTTCGGTTCTGCACACTGCTGGACCATCTGCCAACATCATAGAGCAGGCTACAGGGGCGGGATGCCGCTGTAAAAGACTGTCACAGCAAGGAGTTAAAAATGACCTAGAAATGTCGTTCTAGGAATGTCGTGAGAGCCCAGAAGCAGTCATATTTGATGCTGTTGAGTGTGGATGCATTAATGTTGACATTACGGAAGAAAGTGGTGTGTGGTCTTCACATGGTTAGATGCCCTATCGCTGGCTTCATCATGGGTCGGTGGAGGAAGTGCCATGGTCCACAGAATTTAGGATGGGAGAAAGGGCACACAAAATCCCAGCGTTATGGTAGTATGGAGTATCTGAAGTCAGGGGGAAGCAGTTAAAATTTCTCTCCATAGCTCCTGAGTAGACCATTTATTCAAGTGAATCTAACGCCACATCAGGACCATCGGCTCACTGACCTCACCGAAGCTAAGCATTTGGGACTATAACAAGTTGTAAACTTAGACGGGCCTACAACAACTATCATTATTAAACATGAAGAGCCAAGTGTGAGGCACACCTCTAATTCCAGCACTTCTGAGGGGTGGAGGCAAGAGGCTCAAATGTCAAGGTCATCTTCAACCTGATCTACAGGAGACACTTTAAAAATCATCATCATCATCATCATCATCATCATCATCATCATCATCATCCCAGCACTGAAGAAGCAGAGGCAGATGAATTTCTGAGTTCAAGGCCAGCCTGGTCTACAAAGTGAGTCCTGGAAAGCTGGGGCTATGTAGAAAGACCCCTGTCTCAAAAAAAACAAAAGAAAACAAAACAAAACAACAAAAAACCAGCACACACAAAAAAAATAAAATAAATAAATAAATAAAAACCAAGAAAGCAAAAAGAGTGAACATCTTAGCCTACCAGTTCTGAAAGTATGGTCAGAAATCTTCTAGAACCTTCTAGGGGTTCTAAGAATTCAAGATTGTGCTCATAATAATGCTAAGACGTCATTTGTCTCTGTGATTGACATGGGCATAGCTGGTTTAAGCACAAGTGAACTGCTAGGGACTCAGCAGGAGTCCAGGCAGCGCTGTTCAAATATTAGCCCTTGGGGGGGGGGTGGTCCAAAACAGCTTGACCACACAGCTGCCATGGCAGCCTTAGAGGCCCAGACACAGCTGTGACAGGCTTACTGGCAGGCAACACCCGGACTCAGGAAAAGCCATAAGATGACCCCACCCAGGGAGGGCCTGCATCTAAAGGGGAAGTACCCAAAGAAAGCCGGGTGGTGGCGCTCGCCTTTAGTCTCAGCACTCGGGAGGCAGAGGCAGGCAGATCTCTGTGAGTTCGAGGCCAGCCTGGTCTCCAGAGCGCGATCCAGGAAAGGTGCAAAGTTACACAGAGAAAAACCCTGTCTCCAAAAACAAAGTACAAGTGTGTCTGTGTATGTATGTGTGAGTGTGTGTGCTGCAGCATGTGTGTGTGTGTGTGTGTGTGTGTGTGTGTGTGTGTGTGTGGTGTATGTAGAGATGAGGGACAGTCTGCAAAGTCTGGTTCTCTCCCCTCACCATGTGCGATCAAACTCAGGTTGTCAGACCTGGCAGCAATGGCCCTGCAGAGCCGTCCTGACAGTTGAAGTGCTTTTGTTTTAAAATATATATCCATCCTGTACCTAAATATATTTCAGATAGATTAGAATAAAATAAGAAAAAGTTAAGAAGATGTGTGAATATTTAATAATCCCTTGTATAATGATATGCTAAATTTAAAAGCAACAGAGAAAGGTCCTAGAGGAAATGGATGATCAATGTTTGTACACACAATTTATATATATATAAAGTACCACAAAAAACTAGAGAAAAATATTTGCTGGAAATATGCAATAAATACATATCTGATGTTAAAAATCTACTCTAAATAAAAAAAAGCACTGAACACAAATTTGTGTGTGTGTGTAAGTGACTGCAAATTCATAAGTGATTCTGCA